TAGGCTTTTTCAAAGGCAGTAAAGAGTATGGATGTATTTGGAATACCAGTATCTCTGACATATAAAAATGAACCTCGCATCAAATCAGTAACTGGAGGATTTGCAACGATTTTTATGCGAGGCGGAGTTTTGGCATACCTTTTATATCAGTGTGTAGATGTACTTAAGAGAAAAACAGTCATTCAGTCTTCATCTCTCAGGCTAGATCTTTCTAATGAAGAAAATATCTATAAGCTAACTTAAGATGAATTCGATATTGCATATAAAGTTGAATACAGCCTCTTAAAAACAGAACCTGAAGTTTAAGAGAATTTAGATCAATACGCTTATGTTTAGCTCAGTTAAAATATATATCCCTGGGTAACAGAAAATGGAAGAAGCATTTAATTGAGACAAAGGTACAGAATAGAAACTGAAATTTGCTAGTATGGTAGATTAGGACTCTAAGAGGACAGTATTGATTATTTAAACATTATAAAAACTTATCAATGCCCAAAAACACTAGATTTCTAGCTTTAAGGTAGCTATTCAGCAAGAGTAGCACAGTAGGTATAGATAGGAGTATTTCCTTGCAATTAAACTTATCTTGACATTACAAATAATGGCAAAAAATGCAAGTCAAAAGAGGAGCAGTTAAGAGTCGGTGCTAATTTAAAGTTATTTGTAGTGGTGTAAAACTCATTCTTTGACTAGGATAATTTCAGTGACAACTTGATAAAAACTTCTCTTAAGCCTTATTTTTTGTCTCCAAGCTATAATCAAAGCCACTCTTATTTATTCCTGCTTAGTAAGAATTTGGTCTAATTAAGAGATTCAATGTTTTATTCAGAAATAGTAGAAAAGTAATATATTGAGACAAGATTGGATTACTTTAATGTTCAAGAGCTAACTGCAGATGGTCAAACATCCTTTGTAGCATTTACATTACAGATGGATGATACTGTTAAAACAATTAATTGAGAGGCAATAACATTTATTCATGCTTTACAAAATACGGGTGGATTCATGAGTGTCCTATTTGTTATCACTCTCAATCTTATAAGCTATCTTTAAAAAACAATCTACTTTACATCTTTAGTCAAAAGTCTCTATTAATACTAGAGTGAACACAAAATTATTGACAAGTAAATTAACTCAAGAAAAATTAAAGATTCCATCTATGGATAAAGCTAAAATTAAAATAATAAGATTTCTTAAAGCTCTCCATAAAATGCACAACTATTGACATCTGATAAAGAAAACTAAATATTTGACAATAGAGTATCAAGAATCATTGCCTAATTTAAAAGCAGGCTTAAACTTTAGTATTCTATTAAAGATACCATATATGCTTGTCTCCATAAGCGAGGCTGTATAAAAAAATATAATAGACTACAGTAAGCAAGGGAGATCCTCTTCAAAAATGGAACTAATAAAATTAGTAAGGAACTTGATATCAGACATATTGTTAAAGAATTGAGAACTATTAAGTTTATCTAAAAGGTATTACTTACAAAATATCAAAGAGTAATGATACCATATTTCAAAGGAAATTTACTAAATGATGTAGCTTGTTCCCAAGAAAATGATCGTTCAAACGTTTAAGACTTTAAGCTGAAATAATTTTTGAAATAAGTATTGATAAAGACCCACTAAAATGCTTTTGATAAAAGATTAATTAAATCTGTTGAGCTAACTATTGAGGAATAATAATAACTCTAGGAAGTATTTAATAGCAAAGACTTTAAAATCTAAAGTGCATAGAAAAAGAAATACGTATAAGATCATAATAAGTCAAAGAATGTTGAAATAGAAATTAAGGATTAATACCTAGATCATGAAAAAATTAGATATCAAGATGAAGTATTTTCCTAAAATTTATCCCATCCTTATTAAAAAAAGTAGAAAAAAAGAAGTAACTCTGTACTTTCGTAAAATGATATTTAGGGTCCAGAAAAAGAACCCTTGTCAACCTATAATAAAAATGCTTTTGATAACAAAAATCAGATTTAGCCAAAATATCTCTAGAATATCTGAATCACTCATTAAAACGAAGAAATAACATATCTTTCATTAATAATATTAAAATAAGTTCGAGATTGAAATTAAATAAATTTAAAATAGATTCATTCAAAGAAATTTGATATTTATAGGCGGGGTTTTGGGGTTTTGGGGTTTTGGGG